GAGACCAAGGGGTAGACCTAGGACCAGGTGGAGGGATTATATCTGGGCGCCTTGGGACCCCCCAGTCAGAGCTGGTTGATGTGGCCAGGGAAAGGAACGTTTGGGGCTCTCTGCTGGAACTGAGAAGATGGATGGATGGATGGACTTACATACATTCAGTACTGTTGACAATCCCCACAGGAGCAATTTGGGGTGAAGTGTCTCAGGGACACAACGACATGCAGTGGGATTCAAACTTGCTATCCCCTGATTCAAAGTCCATCGTACTATCCACTTAGCCACAGCCTCCTGATACAAATAGACTGTCCAGTTCAGGCTGAATTAAAGGACATCAAACAGCTAAAGCTTAGAGAAAAGTGTTGATCCTATCCTCTAACTCAAAGCAACAGTGAATGTGCTGCCTATCCAGACCAGGGCTCTTTCAAAGCAACAGTATCACCTCTCTCTCCTGTGACATACACATGCTATTTTTCCCACTGTAACATCTATGTGATAAGCTGCACCTGCCTGCCCTCAATCCCATTCACACACACACACACACTCTCTCTCTCTGTGTGTGCTAAAGAAGGCATCTTTGCCATGTTTGAGTAATGCAGATGTTCTACAAGATGTGTAGCTTTAATGCTGGCATCATGCAGAGCGAACAGGGAGCAGCTTAAGATAATTCATCATGAAGATATGTTTCATAACTTGTTGTTTTGACGTTGATAGCTTGTAGTGTAGAGACATGAGAGTGGTATCAATGTTCTTATCTAACTCTCAGCAAGAAGGCAAATAATGCTCCATTTCCTTTAATAATAAAATGAAAGTGATCAGTGATTTATAGATAGAACATTTCCGGCTTGTCCTTTTTGATAGTTTAATGAGGCCATTAGGGCTACACATAGCACTTATTGTCATTGCTGATTAACCTGTTAATTATATTCTAAACTAATCGTTTGGTCAGAAAATTGTAGAAAATGTCCACATCTGTTTTTCAAAATACAAGGTCTTTAATTATCTTGGATTGTCCCAACATTACTCCCTTTAATATCATATATTAAGGCATTTTCTGATGTTTGTGCTAGAAAAATGAACGATTAACCCATTATGAAAATAGATGCTGGTGATTTTCTTCTACTGCTCTGCTCTAGATAGCATAAAGGCACTTTTCATATTCTTTTTAACACATATATAGCCATTAAGAGTCAAACCCATACCTTGTTTTTATTCAGGACATCAATGACGGAGTAATGGTTTTAATCTTTGCCTTCTCTGTGTACTTTCTACCGCCTGAGTCCATTCGTTTCTTCCTTTGAATGATGTCTTACTGTGTTTACTCAGTTTACAATGTCCCCTAATGCAAAAGCTCCTTACAGTGTGCCAACAGCTGGTTCACAACAGGACTCTCACACTCTGTGCACATTGAAATGTTCTTATTTGCAATGGGATTCGCTAGCATGTTGCCAAACAGGAGGTTTGTCGTTGCTTGTTTGCTAATAAATATTGCTCACTACAATATTACACAGGAAGTGAATAAGAAGTAGAATCTGCACAGCAACGATAAGGTCATCTAGTTGACAAGTTGTTGGGTATAGAAACATGTCAATTACCGTCCAAACACCTTTTTTAGTCCACAACATTAAGACATCCAGTTTAATGTTATAATTGAGTACAGAAAAAACATTACATTTACATTAGAGAAGCTGAAATCAGAGAATATTGAGTTTTTCCTTCTTAAAAATGAACCAAACCAATTAATTGATTATTAAAATAGTTGGAGGTAATTCTAATGTTCAACAACTAACCAATATATTTTTGTAGGTCTACTTATAGCTCTGTGAAGTACACACAACTGTATATTTGCACCATTAAGTCTCTTCCACTATTGTATGTCTAGTAAGTTGCATGTAGGAGGGTCCTGCCAAAAGCCTTGGGTCTTAAGGGGTTAATTAAACACACAGTTGAACATACATACAGAAAAGGAAGCTGAGACAGACCTGCTTCGACTTTATCAGAGACAGGAAGTGGGCAAAACGTTTGAAACAACATGTACTGAACTCAGGAAGAGGGGCTGATTTCTAAAAACAAGATGACTTCACTCCAACAACTCGCTGCACTGACTCTAACCCACCAGGTCAACCAATCCAATTCCTATTCTTAATTTCCTTCTCAAACAAGCCTCTGATTCATTTATTGAACCACTGGTATTTCTCACTAACTGTTTTTCTCCCGAGTGTCAGAATCGAAGTGAAACAACTGTGTGTGTGTTGAGTAAAGACACTGTTAACTAGAACTGCTGCTGCTGCTTCCTCAGCCTCGTTCAACTCTACCTCTGCTTATTTCTGCAGCTCATTTGCAAGCAGTGCCATGTTTCATTTATGAGTGAGAGCGGGCATGATGTGGATATAAATGTCTGACTCTGATGCATACAAATATGTTCAGAAAAGAGACATGTTTGCAATCTATATATTAGTCCATATGAAGAACAACATGCAAGGGTCAAAGGACAGAGGGTCTGAGGACAGAGGGGCTAAGGACAGAGGGTCTGAGGACAGAGGGTCTACAGACAGAGGGTCAAAGGACAGAGGGTATGAGGACAGAGGGGCTAAGGACAGAGGGTCTGAGGACAGAGGGTCTGAGGACAGAGGGTCAAAGGACAGAGGGTCTAAGGACAAAGGGTCTGAGGATAGAGGGTCTACAGACAGAGGGTCAAAGGACAGAGGGTCTACAGACAGAGGGTCTGAGGACAGAGGGTCTGAGGACAGAGGGTCTAAGGACAGAGGGTCTAAGGACAGAGGGTCTGAGGACAGAGGGTCTAAGGACAGAGGGTCTAAGGACAGAGGGTCTGAGGACAGAGGGTCTAAGGACAGAGGGTCTAAGGACAGAGGGTCTGAGGACAGAGGGTCTAAGGACAGAGGGTGTCGTATTGTCATACTGATATTCTGTACAAACTGTGAAGTCCACTGAGACAAATGTAACATTTGTGATATTGGGCTATAAATAAACATTGATTGATTGATTGAGTGATTGATTGATTGATTGATTGATTGATTGATTGATTGACATGCTATCTTTACAGGAATCTCTGCAAAATAGTGAGGCTTCACTGCAGCTACTCTGAGCAAATCCATCTGTCAAAGCCCTGCTCAGTATTCCCTGCAGAGGAAGAAGCATCGTCATGTGAATAAACAAGACAAGGCCTAGAGAATATCGTAAAATAATCCTCATCCAAAGTAACATTTTGCCTATTTATCAAAGATATCTGACACAGATTCAAGTGTGTCAAGTGTCAACAAAGGGAAAAACAACATGTAGCCTGAGTTTGATCTACTTCAAGCCTTTGACATGCAGAGATATGAAAAAGAAAAACGTCACAATTCTTCCCTTTCTCCTCTCAATGAATGACTCATCTTATCTATGCAGAAACCAGGACTTCTTCTTCCTCCGACAGAAATAAAACTCAAGGTCAAGTTCACACTCTTGAACAGCACCAAGTCCATAGGTGGAGTTTGACATGTGCGCTTGGGGGGGCAAACCTTTTTTACTGACGTCAGTACACAGTCCCAACTATTGCGTGGGGTGCTACGGATACAGTATCAATACAACCAGCGTTCACCGCACTGAGTATGACTTTTCCACATACGAACACAACTCGTCTCGTCATGCACGCCTCATGTACGCCTCATGCCCGCCGTACACACACACTCATATGGAAGGGGCGGTCTCTCCCCCCAACAACAGTGCATTACATCTGTAAAACGTATCATAACTGTGCACATCTTATACTTATTTGATAACTACTATATCCCTTGGTTACTTGAACACGCTACAATATTATTAACCAGTGTCCTACTTAGTGGAGAAGTTGACGCCTTAAACGTCCCAGAAATTGGACGTTTTAAAAATCGCTGCATATCTAATTGTAATACAATAGCTGAATCACTTGTATGTAAAAGAAAAAGCGAGGGGACTTGTGTCCTTAACCTCATACGTCACACACACACACACACACACACGTCACAACATGCTGTAGAGTTATATTTGTATTTATTCATGTTAGCAAACTATGGATAAGCTTAAAATGAGAATAATTTGGGTACAACTGTGAGCTGCATTTGGGGCCTTTTGACATGTGTTTTTGAGGACAAAGGAAGATGTGGGGGAGGTGTAGGTATGCAGGCCTTGAGACTTTTGGTTGTAAGGTGAGCCTGTTTGGTTTCCTGCTGGCCAGCGTTGCGTCTCCCAATGAGAAGACCTGAAAAGATGACCAGCTGACCTAACACCAAACCCCTCCTTCTTACTCTGGTATATATCCGGTGGATCCCTGGCGTTCGGTCTCTCTTCACATGCTGCCCCGAGCGAAAGAATCTCCGCAGCACGCGAACCAGGGCAGGAGTAAGCCGGCATTACTCCTTAAGCATTACAATATAACTGTAATATATCATGTTGTATTGTAATGATTGTATTGCATTGTCATATTGCCATTAAAGTAGATTATTGTTAACGGTTACTTTGTAGATATGGATTCCTTCCTGTATTATAACCAGCTTGATAGGAACGCGCGGAGATTTGAAAAGCGGACCAGTTATCCCTCCAAATCCCCAACAATGCGACTGCTCAAAAATGAAATTATTTCAAACAAAATATGATATTATTCAGATTTGTATTGTAACAATCATTATATTACATCTATTAAAATATTGATATATGAAATATTTGTATTGGAACAGTTTTAGAAGTAGTAATGCTGTAACATATTTCAGCCATTAGGGGGGCAATGCCCCCCCTGCCCCCCGCAAAATCCGCCTATGGCACCAACGCTTCCTGTGGCTTTGTTGACTGAGAGAAGTTGTCATTTGAAGTGGAAGCCATGGGAGTTTGAAGGACGTCAAAGCAGCGTGTTTTAAGTGCAGTTGTTTAATCAGCCTTTCAGATGCCACGGTAAATAACAAACCTGACCTTCAGCTGAAGAACCGAGCAGCAGGCCTCAGTGTTTGACCTGAGGGAGCGTTACTCACTGAAAGAGACGACGGCCAGGATGAGTGTGATCACGATGGAGACCCAGGACACCCAGAGAGCTTTCTTACGATAACTCTGAGCTTCATGAGGCTTCAGACGCATGCTGCTCTCCAGAAGACCTGCAGACAACAACACATAACTCAGAGAGGGATTACGACGTCTACTTGTGCAATAAACACATGTATTTAATATTATGAAAGAGTGTTGTATTTTTGCAGAAAGCAGTATTGGTAGTAAACGTTAATATATAGTTTATCACAGGTAATATCATTATGACAATATTCAACGTCATCACATAATATTTTCCTCTTCCCTAATACCGAACTGATAAGCATTAAACTGACTTAAATCATATGTAAGAGGGATTGTGAGTCATCATATATTTATGAAATATATATCACTATAGAGTTTATATGCTATGCTATGATTTAGCTAATCTGCACTTAACACAAAGTACAGCAGGAGATGATGGTACTGTCATTAAGTTACGGGATCATAAACACCCCGAGGGAAATATCTGAACCAGACTTCGTGGCAATGCATTCAAAAGTTGTCAAGACATATCACATTCCTCAGCTAAACATTGATTTTGGTGCAAGGGGTAACAGCCAAATCAGTCGATAATTATTATTTTATTACACTACTAAATGATTTGTGTGCAAGTAAAACACAAGTTATTTTCCTTTTTCCAGAGAAAATCCAGTAACTATGTCCTATAATGTTACCTCTAAAAAATGTAACTAGTGGACTAACTATTTAAGTCACAAAATAATTGTAATTAATTCATACAAAATCAATCCCAACTGTGTTTTTCTACAACAGTAAAAAGCTATTGATGCAAAAATATGATCTAGAATTGCCACAAATACAAATATATTGATGCTAATACTTTTACTTGAGTAAGATTTTGAGTACACGACTTTAACTTTTGAAAATAGTTCCCCCTCCCGTTCTTTCTGTTACTCCTGATTATGTTCACCTGGTGCCCTGTGTTGTCTCCCCCCCCCCCCCCCCCCCCCCTCACCTGTGTCTAATAGCTGATTAGTGGGTGTGTATTTAGGCTCTGTGTTTGGTGAAGGCTGGTAGTGTGGGTGAGATCCTTGTGGCTGGTGACTGTGTTCACCTGGGCATCAATATTGAGGCTGTGTATCCTGTACCACAGCGACGAATAAATGCCCACACCGGGTTATATTTGAATTCTCTGCCTCTGCCTCCTTGCTTGGTCGGGCCGCTCAACGGTCAGCTTCACAGAAGTATTTTGACAATAATAATATTACTTCTTCCACCATTATTTTTTAACATGTATCCCACCGCCTACCTCCGTCGTCCAAGCTGTCTGTTATCTTCATCTCCTGGTCCATCTTGAGACCCTCTCCCCGACTTTCAGTGTCTGTCTGCGGCTGCTGCTGCTCCGGGGATTCCTCCTTCTCGCACTGCCCGTTCTCCACAACAACCGGGTCCGAAACGGCAGTGGATTCTGCCGGTGTGGAGTCCGTCATCTTCTGGGCACGTTGCGGTTCCAATTACGCACGCCAAAAATGTTTCACCTTGGCGAGAAGTACAGGCTTTCAACGGGGGAGACACTCAGAGACAGAGAGGGGAGGGAGACGCCAGGTCCAGATGCGCAAAAACTGCATACTGTGAGGTGAAGCAAAACCGGAAATTAACAGATGGTTGTTTCAAAACAAAGCAGTGTTGTGCACCTGAAGGAATTTAAAGCGTTCATGCTCTTTGGATTTGGACATAATGTAAAGGCTTGCATTGTCAGCACCGTATTTATGAGACAAAAAGTGCAGACTTTTATTTTCATTTAACCGAAAACGCGGTTGTAGGCTGCAAATTGGGAACTTCACTAAAGTATCCACCTCCTTTTTCATTACATTACAACAACAGTCATTTAGGCTGATGCTGCATATTTTAAATGCATAACTTTAACTTGTAAGTCATTTTTATTTAATAGCCATTATTTGTATTGGTGGGCTGAAATACAGGTTAAGACATGTTTATAGCTAATGCGATGTGTTTACATTCAATTATGCCTTATTTGTATTACAGTCATTATCCATCTGTTTATTTTGAAGGCGTTGTGCTGACAACCCTGATGCTCTCTGTTTGGAAACGCCATAGAAAAATATTCACAACAATTCCAAAGCGTCCCTTCTGGGTAAATTCGAGATGTCGTGAAATACCAACACCTGGACTCTAATTACCTGTTGACCCCAGAGGGTGAAGAGGAGTTATCATCATCCTCCTCCTCCTCATCATCACACAACAGTCCTGCATTGATGTGTTCACCATAAAGGGTTTCTAAGAGGAATAACTCATTTATAAGCAGACATTTGTTTTCTCTGCGTAAAAATGACTTCTCCCAATGCATTTACTTAGATCTATTTATTTAATGACAGACTATTGGTTGCATGTAGTTCATTTAGACTGCTTATACACTATGTAAACTTAACAGGTTCCTTGTTTTGTTAGATCACTTGTTGCAGAGTGTACTTGATTTGTGTTCTCTGCTTCCCTTTAGTGGCAGAAAGAGAGCAATGCAGAGCAGAAGATGCTCCACCATGAGGCAACACATTGTACATGCTTGCATAGGTCAAATATGATGAGATTAATAAAGACGTGTTTAGGAAGCCTTATCCAACAACATACTGTAATGCATAAAAATCACAACTTGGGGCTGGATAGTCTTAATTATATTGTTCAAATATTTGCAATATATGTCAACACGCAATCTGCAATTATAGAGAGACGGTGTGCCAACAATAAACATGCACTGTTAATAATAAGATAAGAATGCAATATGATTAGAATAACCTCTTATTTCTAAGGGGCCGAGCACTAGTGAACTCTAGTCGCTAAACTAGATATTTCAGCTCTTATTGCTATAGTGAAAATGACTAAAACTGTCCACAACTTTTATTCTGCATTATACTACACCGGATCTCACCTGGCTTTAATGTTCTACACTGCTGTTTGTAATATCTATACTGCCTTATACTGTTGTTAGTGGACATAATGTCAGATGTATCACTAAACATCACTGTGCACTTTACTGCTGTTTTTGGTTCTGATTTCTGTTGTTCTTGAATAAAAACACTCGATGCTCTTTGCACCTCCAGCATCCGGGGTGCGCTGTGCAGAAAGCAGTCCACCGGTAAAACCCATCTCGTCTTTCCGGTGCCCCCTCACTCCCTCCCGATGCTAGCACCGTCTTGGCTGCGGGAGCGTAATGGCGGTGCACCGGGGACCCTCCACCAAATGGATCTTCTCCCGGGAGCAGCTGGACAACACGCCGTCCCGACGCACCGGAATCGAGGGCGACCGGGAGCTCTCTTACCGGCAACAAGCGGCCAATTTAATCCAAGATATCGGCCAGAGACTCAACGTGTATCCTTCCAAAAAAAAAAAAACCTCCAGGCTAACCGGCCCACTGGTGTTAGCTCCTGTTAGCATTAGCTTCAAGAAACACCCAAACCGCAACACGTGTTAAAAGTCGCTTTTTTTGACAACCAGAACAGACGGAAAATCTTTTACTTACAGATGTCTTAAGGGTTGTTTACATCGGATTGCAATGTGTTTATATTCAGCCTGCAGGAAACGTGAAGGCCTGCCTGCTAGTTAGCTTAGCTATTGTTGTGTCTCTTCTTACTGCAGTCCATTGTTAGCTTTGTGTCTTATGGTATCTTTAATCAGAATGAGCTTTAATGCCAAGTAGCTTTACATACAAGGGATTTGTTTTGGTGTATATGATGCACACACACACACACACACACATACACACACACACAGGTAAAGAGGATTTCAAGTAAGTAAGAAAACAACCATTTATATAGAAAAAAGCTGTTATTCGTCAAGATGTAGACAATTATTTCAGCAAAAGTAAAAAGGCACAATATTAATTAAGAGGTATGAACACAATTTACAAAACTAACAATCCAGGTGGACACCAGCAAGTAACAGTATTTTAAATTAAAATTAGCACGTAGAAGTAGTCTGATAGAGAACATAATATTACACAGTTATTACAGATTGTGTTACAGAAGTTGAATAGTCTTAACTAAGAGATAACCGGCAGTACACATCATAATTATAAAGTCATATATATATATTGCACATAAGTGATATTGCATGATTACTAATACTGGTAGCCCTTATTATCATCCATGTGTCATTCCTTAACCGCACACCCAGCTCCCAATTGATTATCAACACTGCTATAGTATATATGCACAGATTTTATATGATTCACTCCTTCAGCAAATTCCATAGAAATGTAAGTACGACTGCAGTGTTTGCTGATGCTATAGATACTGCTGGTGCCGCCGATGAAAACTGAGGTTTTTCTTTCTTCTTCTGTTTAGGTTATTTCTCAGACTACGCTGTTCCTGGCAGCTAAAGTTGAGGAACAGCCCAGAAAGCTGGAGCATGTCATTAAAATAGCCCATGCCTACATTAACCCTCAAGAGCCTGCCCTAGACCCTAAGAGCAACGTAAGTAAACCACGGAGTAAACATTCATGCAATTGTTAGTAACTCGTAAAGTGTTTTTGTGAAGCTTTGGAAAGCTTCAGTCGAGCAGTAACAACATCATTATCTGTATAGATTATCATTTTCAAGCTTCACGTTGCTGCGTTTTATATAATAATCAGTATTAAATATCGCTCTTTAAGCACCCTTCCTCCACCCTTTACAGCAGGGGTGTCGAACTCAAATACACAGTGGGGCCGGACTAGTCGAGGGCCGGACTGGTTCAATGTTGCAGAACGTATTGAAATGAACTTATTGCACATATTCAACCTGGAACTAACGAAGCTTCAATGATTGCCTATAAAAACAACATTAAATAATCAGTTGCATTCATTTCTCATGGCTCTATCTGCAGCTTTTCCAGAGTCATATCTTATGAGTACATTTTTCCACAGGCCAACAGCTTCAACAAAACTATTTGGAAAAAACCAAACATGCCCTGTTGTCCTGAGAGAAAGTGCAGAAGGAAACATCCATTGAACTCAGTGAGCTGCTCTGTGATGCTAGCTCAGATACTTGGCATCTCATCTTGGGTGCAAGGTCATCAATGTTTGGGGTCAGGCTCTGAGCTGAGGAGACCCTCAGGATGGAGTGAAGGTGTGAGAGCAATATACCGGCGGGCCAGATCTAATAGGAATTAGACATTATCTTGTGGGCCGAAATTAAATCCACCACGGGCCTGATTTGGCCCCCGGGCCTTGAGTTTGACACATGTGCTCTACAGTTACCGGCCGCCTGCAGTGCTTTCATTTGATAGGAATGCTGATCTCAGGTTGAATCATCAGTATAAATGTGGCGGTAAACAGATTTAAAATTGTGCATCGATTGGTCTTTTTTAGGCATTCCAGCAACAGACACAAGAGCTTGTAGCACTGGAAACAATAGTGCTGCAAACCCTGGGTGAGTGCTAGCTTATATTCGACATGAAATATTCTTTTAGTTGCACATTTGTGCTGACGTTGTGCTGATCCTCCTCATTAAACATCTTTTATTCATTGCAGGTTTTGAAATAACAGTTGATCATCCACACACTGATGTTGTGAGGTGTTCCCAGCTAGTGCGAGGTAAACCTTCTCATATGTATCCCTGTTTAAAATACCTGTACATTGTCTTCTGTTTTAACACCATGTTGTGACTTGGTGCCACTTTTTCTGAGCTCGGTTAAATGAATGCTAATTTAAAATGCTATCTCAAAGTATCGTCTCATTTTCTAAAAACACACTTTCTTCTTGTCTTACAGCAAGCAAGGATTTGGCACAGACTTCCTATTTCATGGCTACCAACAGGTTATTATCCTGTTCCCATTATTGCACTGTAATGGCACACTATAGCTTCCTGTCCTGCAGGGCCCCCCTTCCTGTGTCCAACGCCCTTTTTGCGCCTGGATTTCGGGAAACCCCAATGTGGGGAAGTACCTGTCCGGGCTGCTGTGTGCGGTGTATTGTACGAGGGCTCCGTGTTGGCACATAGGGGTTGAATGCACAATGTGGAGTGTAGTGGTGCTGTCTACCTCTCAAGGTTGTTTGGTACGGAGTGCATATGTCTAAAAGAGAACTCTCAAGTGGTAGCCTGAATATAGATTGCCACTAAAGATTCTTAAACTTATAGAGTGCTTTGGTAAGTATAGTTTTACAGTTCTTTATACATGTTTTGTGCACATTTTTTTACCCTACCCTAAAAGCGCTAACACCAAACTATACTGCAAACTGTGCGGTTTGTATGACCAGATCTAACATAGGTGTGCATGTGTAACGTAGGGTTGTTGTCTTTTGAAGAGGCAGAAATATTTGGATATTTTGGTGACTAACGAGGGGTTAGCTGCTCTGAGGTTCCCCCCACAGATGAGGGTAGAAAGAATCCTTTAGTTCATGCACAGATACTGAAGTCTAGACTAAGTGGCAGTGATTGTAATAACCCCAAATAGTTGATAATGACAGTATTAAAGTAAAGGATGCATGATAGTTATCGGTAATTGGGGGACATTATATTGTGTATTATTAACAACAATGGAATTATGGCCAATTATACAAAGCCAAATTGCTTCAAAGTAAACGAGATCTACGACTAAGCTATGCAATAAGAGAAAACCATTGAATATGATTCTTAACTTTTGAGTTATAACACTATTTCACATCCTATAATTACATATCATTTCTGCATTGCGGCAAAGAGTGCACTTTTGCTTAGGCGGATGCCGTCTTGTTGGTAATAAGAGCAAGAAATCGGGCGTTTTTAAGTCTTATTTTAACTTCCTTTGTCACTGGTTTCGCTTCAGTACATACGAGCCGGTTTGCAGTCTCGTTTGGGATTCAGGGTGCAGAGAAAATTAACCGTAGAAAACTTTAAAAGCCTTAATCGTTTGTCTTTGGCTTCCAACGTCAGTGTTTCTCAGTCTTGGTGTGTGTTGTTGTGAAGTCCCGTTGATGTCATTAGAGATTTCATGTAATAGTTGCTCATTAAGAGATTGAGAAACACTGTTTTTAAAACACAATTTATACAGTTTCAAAATATGATGTCTTATACTTACATTTAAGAACATATCTTAGCAAAAATAGAAATATCTTATGTTCCAGTACTATAAGGTAAGGGTGTGTGTATGAGACGTGAACATAAGATGGCCAGTATGCTTTAAACTTCTATTTGAATGTATGAAGTGTGTTTAGTGTGAAATACCAGCAGCTGACGGTCGTACATCTCTCTCGTGTCTTTGTCTCCTCTGCAGTTTGCATCTCACCACCTTCTGCCTGCAGTACAGACCCACTGTGGTCGCCTGCGTCTGCATCCACCTGGCCTGCAAGTGGTCCAACTGGGAGATCCCCGTGTCCACAGACAGCAAACACTGGTGGGAGTACGTGGATCGCAGCGTCACGCTCCAGCTGCTGGACGGTAAGAGCCGCATGATGTGCATTATCTTTGCACTGGCTTTTAATCAGAGCTGGCAGAAGTACACACATCCTTTACTCAAGTAGAAGTACAGATACTCGTGTTTAAAAATACTCTGGTGAAAGTAAAGAACTTTGAAATGTACTTCAGTAAAAAGTACCCATAACTAGCAGCTGTTTTAAAGAGTACCTGACCTCCCTTTATATTAATAGAACAATAATGTCATTGTTAGCTAATGAATGTTTCCATGCTGAACAACGGCAACATGACAACGTTTCCATTGGTCCCTCTTCTTTAGAGAAGACCAGGAAATGATGGATACACGGATCGTGTTCAAATCAATAGGCACGCAATGACTCTAAAGAATAATGATCACGCATCAAACACACATTCAGACTAAAGGAACCAGCTGTTTGGAAAATGAGAGAAGTAGAAAGTACAGGTATTAGTGTTCAACATGTAAGAAGTAGAAAGTACAGGTATTTGTGTTCAACATGTAAGAAGTAGAAAGTACAGGTATTTGTGTTCAACATGTAAGAAGTAGAAAGTACAGGTATTTGTGTTCAACATGTGAGAAGTAGAAAGTACAGGTATTTGAGTTCAACATGTAAGAAGTAGAAAGTACAAGTATTTGAGTTCAACATGTAAGAAGTAGAAAGTACAGGTATTTGAGTTCAACATGTAAGAAGTAGAAAGTACAGGTATTTGGGTTCAACATGTAAGAAGTAGAAAGTACAGGTATTTGTGTTCAACATGTAAGAAGTAGAAAGTACAGGTATTTGGGTTCAACATGTGAGAAGTAGAAAGTACAGGTATTTGGGTTCAACATGTAAGAAGTAGAAAGTACAGGTATTTGAGTTCAACATGTAAGAAGTAGAAAGTACAGGTATTTGAGTTCAACATGTGAGAAGTAGAAAGTACAGGTATTTGGGTTCAAAGTGTGAGAAGTAGAAAGTACAGGTATTTGGGTTCAACATGTGAGAAGTAGAAAGTACAGGTATTTGTGTTCAACATGTGAGAAGTAGAAAGTACAGGTATTTGAGTTCAACATGTAAGAAGTAGAAAGTACAGGTATTTGGGTTCAACATGTAAGAAGTAGAAAGTACAGGTATTTGTGTTTAACATGTGAGAAGTAGAAAGTACAGGTATTTGAGTTCAACATGTAAGAAGTAGAAAGTACAGGTATTTGTGTTTAACATGTAAGAAGTAGAAAGTACAGGTATTTGAGTTCAACATGTAAGAAGTAGAAAGTACAGGTATTTGTGTTCAACATGTGAGAAGTAGAAAGTACAGGTATTTGAGTTCAACATGTAAGAAGTAGAAAGTACAGGTATTTGAGTTCAACATGTGAGAAGTAGAAAGTACAGGTATTTGAGTTCAACATGTAAGAAGTAGAAAGTACAGGTATTTGAGTTCAACATGTGAGAAGTAGAAAGTACAGGTATTTGAGTTCAACATGTGAGAAGTATAAAGTACAGGTATTTGAGTTCAACATGTGAGAAGTAGAAAGTACAGGTATTTGAGTTCAACATGTAAGAAGTAGAAAGTACAGGTATTTGAGTTCAACATGTGAGAAGTATAAAGTACAGGTATTTGAGTTCAACATGTAAGAAGTAGAAAGTACAGGTATTTGAGTTCAACATGTAAGAAGTAGAAAGTACAGGTATTTGAGTTCAACATGTGAGAAGTATAAAGTACAGGTATTTGAGTTCAACATGTAAGAAGTATAAAGTACAGGTATTTGAGTTCAACATGTGAGAAGTAGAAAGTACAGGTATTTGAGTTCAACATGTAAGAAGTATAAAGTACAGGTATTTGGGTTCAACATGTAAGAAGTAGAAAGTACAGGTATTTGAGTTCAACATGTAAGAAGTATAAAGTACAGGTATTTGAGTTCAACATGTGAGAAGTAGAAAGTACAGGTATTTGTGTTCAACATGTGAGAAGTAGAAAGTACAGGTATTTGTGTTCAACATGTAAGAAGTAGAAAGTACAGGTATTTGAGTTCAACATGTGAGAAGTAGAAAGTACAGGTATTTGGGTTCAACATGTAAGAAGTAGAAAGTACAGGTATTTGAGTTCAACATGTAAGAAGTAGAAAGTACAGGTATTTGGGTTCAACATGTGAGAAGTAGAAAGTACAGGTATTTGGGTTCAACATGTAAGAAGTAGAAAGTACAGGTATTTGAGTTCAACATGTGAGAAGTAGAAAGTACAGGTATTTGAGTTCAACATGTGAGAAGTAGAAAGTACAGGTATTTGAGTTCAACATGTGAGAAGTAGAAAGTACAGGTATTTGAGTTCAACATGTAAGAAGTAGAAAGTACAGGTATTTGAGTTCAACATGTAAGAAGTAGAAAGTACAGGTATTTGTGTTCAACATGTAAGAAGTAGAAAGTACAGGTATTTGTGTTCAACATGTAAGAAGTAGAAAGTACAGGTATTTGGGTTCAACATGTGAGAAGTAGAAAGTACAGCTATTTGGGTTCAACATGTAAGAAGTAGAAAGTACAGGTATTTGAGTTCAACATGTAAGAAGTAGAAAGTACAGGTATTTGAGTTCAACATGTAAGAAGTAGAAAGTACAGGTATTTGTATTCAACATGTAAGAAGTAGAAAGTACAGGTATTTGTGTTCAACATGTAAGAAGTAGAAAGTACAGGTATTTGAGTTCAACATGTGAGAAGTAGAAAGTACAGGTATTTGGGTTCAACATGTGAGAAGTAGAAAGTACAGGTATTTGAGTTCAACATGTAAGAAGTAGAAAGTACAGGTATTTGGGTTCAACATGTGAGAAGTAGAAAGTACAGGTATTTGGGTTCAACATGTGAGAAGTAGAAAGTACAGCTATTTGGGTTCAACATGTAAGAAGTAGAAAGTACAGGTATTTGAGTTCAACATGTGAGAAGTAGAAAGTACAGGTATTTGAGTTCAACATGTGAGAAGTAGAAAGTACAGGTATTTGAGTTCAACATGTAAGAAGTAGAAAGTACAGGTATTTGTATTCAACATGTAAGAAGTAGAAAGTACAGGTATTTGGGTTCAACATGTAAGAAGTAGAAAGTACAGGTATTTGGGTTCAACATGTAAGAAGTAGAAAGTACAGGTATTTGAGTTCAAAATCTAAGTAAAAGTAAAAAGTCATCGCGGAGTAAAGTACTGATACCAGAAACATGTACTTAAGTACAGTAACAAAGTATTTGTACTCCACTAGTTCCCACCTCTGCTTTTAATACTAGTTGAACATGACATTTCTATGTTTCTAGTTATTGTGCTTTTTATCTTAATTATTGTTTTATTATTTTACTCCTATTGTATAAAACAAATAAAGATTGAGATATTATTGTAATATAATCATATTAGTGCAGGTTTATTTAGCTGTGCAAAAAATACCGGATACTTCAAACTGAATCAATACAAAGGCCAAAAAGACAGCATTTTAATAGACACACTACGACTGAGGCCCCAAAGGTTCATGTGTTGCATCAAGGAGACATGACATGTCTTATTTCTTCTTTTCCAGAGCTCACACACGAGTTTCTTCAGATCCTTGAAAAGACGCCCAGCAAACTGAAGAGGATACGAAACTGGAGGGTGCGCCATTAATACTTAACGTAACGCCATTTGACGGCTTGGAGTATTTACCTTCAGTATCTCATGTTGAATTCTTTGTTTTTTTACAGGCTATTCAAGCAGCTAAGAAGCCAAAGTCGGATGGCTCTTCTGTGGACAGTGTGTACCAGGGGACGTCCTTAGATGGCCTTCCCGGGGTCAGCAACTCCTTCTTCCCCTCCACTTCCTCAGACTCTTCAGACATGCCGTCCCTCAACAACATCGCAGCCTCCTACGCCTCCTACCAGCCGCTGAGCGACGAGTCAAAGAGCTGCGGATACGACAACTTCCCCGAGCCGGACTTCACGCTGGTGAAACACGAACACAAAGCTGCCGGCGGCTCCAGCAGCAAACAGCAGCCGCTCAATGCAAACGCTGCCACTTTTTCACGGCCGCAGAAAGTGTTGACTCTGGAAAAGTACCGAGAGAAACACGCGGCGACGGACGTGACCTCGCAGAACGGCGTAAAGGACGAGTCGAACACGGACATGTACATACCTCCCCAAACCTCCTCGCACCACCACAAGAAGCGCTCCCAGCAGGCGGGGCAGTCGGGCGACGGCAGGAGAGAGAAGAGCAGCTCGAAAAAGGCTCGGCTGCCTCACTCTTTAGCGGAAAACGGCTCGGCAACGGGCGAAGAGCTCAAGATGAGAATCAAAGTTTCGTCGGAGCGTCACGGCGGCTCGGAGCCAGGCGGTAAAGACAAGCACAAAGAGCATCACCGCCACTCGAAACACGGCCACTCGAATCCTTACGCCCTCAGTGGGAACGCCCGGGGGACAATAGACAGCGCCTCGTTATCGATAAGAGCTCCTGACGGGGCCTCCTCTTCCTCCCGTAAAAGACCTCACTCTGAAGCCGGAAACCACCACCACCATTCGTCCAAGAGCCGGAGCTCCAAAGCAGGTTCGGCCCATTTCTCGTCAGAAGGAGGCCAGAGGATGATGGAGCATCACGGCCACGACGGCACCAACGGCATGCTGACCACAAACGGCCAACACACCGACTACAAAGACACTTTCGACATGCTGGACTCTTTACTAAGTGCCCAAGGAATGAACTTGTAACCCTCGGAGTCCGCAGTGTTGTCTAGAATAAGGTATTGCCATGTTTAATAGAAATTTTAAAGAATTTATTTGTCTTAAGTTATCTGCATCTCCCTCAGTCGTGTCTACACACTGATGAAAAAGTAAAATCTTATGCATAGAGCTGTGTACTACTAGCTTGCAAAAAAAAAAAGTTTTAAAGAATTACGGCTGAAATTTTAAACATTCTTTTAACGCGAGCTGACATTATGATTTTCGTGCATGTTTCTAAGTCACACAAGGGAAGCTAGTGTTCGCAGCCATCGTGACAGTTTACAAACGGTCCTTTCTTTCCTTTCCCGTATGTTGAAGACGTTTTGTTCCACTGAAAATCTCAGGTCTTGAACTTTTTTGATATAAGAACGAATCTTCCTCTGTTTGGGTTTGTTCCCTGTACCTGTGGAGATGTATCTCCTCGTCCGTTTGCTGACGACGGCGGCAGCACCTCGTGTGTCTGTCTCTCCCCCAGTTTCCACCGTCTGCGAAAACATGGTCTGCTTACTTTTCAAAGAGTGCATCAATAGCTCAAAAAAATAAACGAAAAACAAACATGTCTATTTGCTGTTTATCGGGACTCCTAAGGCCGCACCTGAACTTAATGTGCAGACTCATTATAGAGCCACAAATGAAGTTTACGTTACAGCTGCTGTGAAAGTGCATTTAAGATATACAGACTAAAAATGACAGAAAGGGCCTTGTGATTGTACCTTGTCAATCGCTATACAGTATGATAAATGTTATTAACTTCCAGAAAATCTCTAAAATAAGAATGTGTAAATAGGACTAGTTATTGCATCAGTCCAGACCTTCCTCATTCAGTGTGTCACGGGATCTAAAGCAGACTCTGTATTGATGAACATATCCTCGATTTGTGTATTGGGAGCCCAAATAAAGGTGTAAAAGTGACTTCTGTTTCAAAAACATGGATTCTGTCTGTTTGGGGAGGGCAAACAAAACACTTGTAGACATTACATGATACTTGTTAGACTTACATACTCAATACTGTGTACAATCGGGGTTTGAACCTGTGACCACCTACACGCACATCCACTGCGCCACACACCGCCTGTAGACAATGGGAGAATTTGTTTTTTATTGCTTTTATATATTTTGTCTCGGTTTAAAGTTATAGGGCTGCAAATGACGGTTAATTTAATTCTCTAATGACCCACAGATTATACTCCATTAATGGATTAAGATCAAATAAATCTGTAAAATGTCCAACAATTAGGAAACATCTCTTAAAAACCCTTAGATATTCAGTGTACCATGCTATAAGCTGGAACCAATAACCTCATTTTATTTGTATTCTTATTAAAAGCGTCAACATGGTTGCTGACCTGTTTTCAGGCGTTATAGCTTTAAGACAACACTCAATGTCTACATACTAGCTTTTCCCAGGGCTTTGAACTACAACCTGTTTTCTTCCTCTGTAAGATCACAATAGATAAATAAAACCTGAGATGACAACTGAGCTTTTTCCAATGCATACCATGTGCAGGGGAAGTCGTGTAAAGCTCCAAAAAGCTAGTTAACGGTCCCATGTCATGCTGTTCCTGTTATCACCCGTCCCCTTGTTGTTATGAAGGTGTTTCTGCATGTAAACGGTCTGCAGTCACAAACCCTCAAAGTGCACCCTGTAGCGAGTAAAACTCTAACACAGAGAAGACCTGTCTGTGCTGCCCCAGAACGCCTCGTTGGACATTTATCTTCTTCCATTGTTTGCTTCCTGGGTTCTGTGACGTGTGAACTCCCAGATCAACAACAAATGACCGGATTGGCTCAAATGGACCAATCCTTGGAGCACCTCCCACACCAGGGTCCCTTGGCTAACTAACAGGGAGTCCCATTGACTTGCATAGAGCTCCCTGGTTGGTAATAGACGAGTTGGGATGATGGAGGAATGCTCTCCGCAGTTCTATTCTCACAGCGTTAGAAACCTTTTCTTTCTCAATATCAAGCCACACTTATTGTTTTTACTTCGGCTGTGAGTGTTTGTGTGCTCAGGATGAGTTTCGCTTGTTCTCGCTGTATCGCCGACCCGAAAACCTGTCCGCTCCTCGCAGCAGCAACGAGCCTCGCAACGTCCCGACCAATCAGAGCACACTGGGCTCACAGGGAGGGGGGGGGGGGGGCAGGAGCTCCAACAAGCCGTTTAGGACAGAGAGTGAATACACATGCTATACAGAGATGCTGTGAGGAACCAATGTGATTTTGGAACATTGCACAATTTAAATGTATTCTAGTTGACCTCAACAACGGAGATATGATCAGTAGAAATGGCCATGACATGGGACCTTGAGTTTGTTAGTTTTTTGTCAAAGCAAACTGACATTTCTTACATAATATTATTCTGCTTTTAACACAGCGATGAGACAATTAACCTAAACATGCCAAACAAGTCCCTGGTACAGTATGATCCTCCATATCATATCTACAAGAAGATATCCCTCATCCCTGGGGGGTTTTATTTATATTTTGTTGCCTCAAAAAGCTACCGATTTGCATGCCTGTCAGATCTCATGAAGTACTCCACTCGAGTTTCCCCTTAAAAAAACGCATTCCTCAGTGCAAAAAAATAAAACCTTAAGCCCTTAATTTTGGCCTGGAAAGCTCACGTCGCAAGCAGAAATGAAAATAAGTGCCAAATCATGCAGATGGTTTAATCCCAGCCTCATAACATTGGATGTATTCCCCGTTGAATGTAAGCCCTCGCTGCGTTTTAAGATAAAACAATCACTTGTCAAACGCCGCCACAGAAAATTCTCCTCAAGACTGAACACACACTGGTCAATCCCTGCCGCCTCTATGCTTACATATAGTCATTGTTTAGGATACTAACAATGATGATTACATTACATGTCCAGCTTTCAGTGCAGGCCATGCTTAAAACAGCTCTAATGGAGTGTGAATGGAGGCGGTGCTGCTGTGTCCCTAACGTTAATGGGAGTAATGAGGCATACATTGGGCTTTGGCGTGAGCAGAATACTTAATTTAGTTTGGGTTAGTCGTATAATGTACATTTACTCTAGAAATGTGTGTAAGAAAACTTCGAGGCTACATTAATTGAGTATTTTCATTTTATGCTACTTTATACTCTAATATATTTATTTGACATCTTCTCAGAGTCTGATTGTTAGGTAATACACAATATATATTAACCAGTGGTGTGAAGTAACTAAGTACATTTACTCAAGTACTGTACAATTTTGAGGTACTTGTACCCCACTACAATTCAGAGGTTAATAGTGACTTTTAGTTACTTTACAGATGTGGATGAATGATGTGAAATATAATCAAGTGTTGAATCAGACTTTAGTTCCACCTGGAGTAAATCCACCAGCTACCCTGCAGTATACAAAGCCATTCAAACTAGCTGCACCTTCACCAGCTTTGAGAACACTTTCATGATCAATCATTATAAAACATATCATATATATTATTCTGAAATGGACCAATCTGCACAACGAATACTTTTACTGTCGCTACTTTCACGATATTTTGATGAGAATACTTTTCTACTTTTACTTGAGGAACATTTTGAATGCAGGACTTTTACTGTAACAGAGTATTCCTACACTCTGGTACTTCTACTTTTACTCAAGTACAAGATCTGAGTACTTCTACTTTTACTCAAGTAAGATCTGAGTACTTCTACTTTTACTCAAGAACAAGATCTGAGTACTTCTACTTTTACTCAAGTACAAGATCTGAGTACTTTTACTCAAGTACAAGATCTGAGTATTTCTACTTTTACTCAAGTACGAAGATCTGAGTACTTTCTACTTTTACTCAAGTACAAGATCTGAGTATTTCTACTTTTACTCAAGTACAAGATCTGAGTACTTGCTACTTTTACTCAAGTACAAGATCTGAGTACTTCTACTTTTACTCAAGTACAAGATCTGAGTATTTCTACTTTTACTCAAGTACAAGATCTGAGTACTTCTACTTTACTCAAGTACAAGATCTGAGTACTTCTCACTTTTACTACAAGATCTGAGTACTTCTCACTTTTACTACAAGATCTGAGTACTTCTCACTTTACTACAAGATCTGAGTACTTCTCCCTTTTACTACAAGATCTGAGTACTTCTCTCACCTCGGAAATCAACGAGTAAACACAAATTCAAATATAATTAAAGGTGAGATATGCAGGGTACAGGTCTTACTTGTAACAGAGTATTTTAACAGTCTAGTTTTTCTACTTCCACCACTGCATCCCAGCTTCCTTTGTGTCTTGATAATTGCAGCAATTACGTAATCCTTTTCATTTATTAGCGAACGTACCTCGAGGGCACTTTCTTCTTGCTTAATGAACAAACACGCGGCGAAGATGTTTGCCAGTGAAACCTGCCGTTCGGTCCCTCTACCAAACCTCAAGTGGCTTTTCAAGGTTCATCTTTTAACTTTATACTCTCTCACACAATGCAGCATTGGTGGTTCATTCGTGGGTAGAACATAAATCCCGTTCCTGATAATTAACTAGCACCCTCAGAGCAAACGCAGCGCTTTCACCAAGTATTACCTTCTAATTTTAGCGTGGAATACAATGGGGAAATTCAGCGGGAGAACGTCAGTGAAAATGCAACCATCTGGACATTCTCGCACACTGGTGGGAGGGTGATGATTTATTTTCAGCAACCTCTCGAGCTGAATAAGAGACGCCTACTGCTCGCAAAATCCGCAGAGGGGAAGAGATATGTGCGGGGCTTTTGTGAGCAACAAATCCCAGAATTAAGAGCCATCTGAAAGGAAAACACCAGCCAAGCTCTAATTACAAATCAAAAGACAGGAACATATATATAGACGTGCAAATGCAAAGGTCCAAGACACAAAGGCTGTTGTTTCAGCGGATAAGGCAGCGAGTTAAAGTACATAATTAACTTTAAAATCATGACTCATGACTTATTTTTCCATCAAGGATGCACAACAAGGAGAGATGTTTTCAGTTTGGGAAGAGAGTATTTTCAGCCGTTTGTCACAGAATTACAGGTTTCTAAATGCAGCCCTTTTCATATCATGATGCTCTGATTACCAGCTGTTTAGCACCTTATGGACACTAGATGGCAGTATTACCTTTGGCCGTTTAATGCCAGCCAATCAGACCAGCAGCTACACAAACATCCAGCATCCTTTCTCTGCTTTTAGGATGATTTTTTTTTTCTAAAAACAAACAGGACGCCGTGTTGAATAACCTTGAAAAAAAAAGGTTATGCCATGAATCCAAGGTGCCTCTCAGCACTCTGTGAACCTCAGTCACCAAAACCACACGTCTCGCCACACACTCTGGACTTGATCCATCTAATTAACAGTTTTGGATAACTGTTGGACAACGAGGGGTTTGGAGACATCGCAGGAAATGTCACAGTGCTGGGGTTGATCAAAAAGGCCTTTGCAGAGCAGCAGCATATGGGACACTTATGAGTCTTAATGCAAATGATGCCCAGGAAATTGTGCAGGAAAGTGGCATAATTATAAGCCATTGAAAGTCCATTGTCATTCCTGTCTGAGAGGTCTCTCTTGAAAAATCGGGAGCTGATGCAAAGCCCTCGAAGTACCTGAGATAGAGCCGGAGGGGGGAAATGACTGGGCCTCGGCTGCTATTATGCCATGGTGGCGCAATTATCTCCAATGACTGGCAGGAGCATAAATTAGCCTCTGTCTTCGTGCTTGGGTTGACTTTTTGTTCCTAACAAGTGCTAAGATATCCCTTTTTCACATGGTAAAAACAAGAAGCTGTAGTGCTCTCTTTACCCAGCTGTTCTCTGTGAAAAACAAGACATTATATCTCAGTTTCTCTCAGTAATTATTCCCTTTATTACCCCAGTATATCTCTCCGCCCTGATTCAAATGCATCCTCTCGCGGCCTGAACACCAGAGACTCGTGTTTGTGGCGGGAACTG